AGTCATGTGTATTAGTAGTATTACTAAATTCTATCACGGTCAAGTAAAAATGAGGTTGAGAAAATCTCCCCGTAACTAAATAAACCGTATCAAACTAACTGGAACACTAGTTGGAATTCTTTTCCATGGTAATACTTTTGTTCTTTCAGTTAGCCTACTAATACAGATGCAATTGGAAATCACATATAAACGGGTTACCGGCATAATTGTTAATTGGTTTCATAATTTAAACCAAAACTAATACCAATATTAACATTTCTACAATATCATTACTTTAATATTTCTAAACACAAAATACTTACTACCTATACGTCAAGTTATTAACCAACGGCTATTAACACGCATTGTTTTATTATTATTACTGTAATCCCATTTTTTATAGCTCAAATAATCTTCACCCAAATTGTCATTTTAAGTGTGTTAAGCATGAAGGCAGATTTTTTTAAAAAAAATTATTACATAAATTTCCCGACCAGATGCTTCCGCCTTCTTTTTGATTTATCTTTCAGCTTATCATTACCCGGGGGATTCTTCCTAGTCTTGGTAACCTTCGGCGCACGACGATCCCATCCAATTTGGTATCGAACCAACATCACGTTGATTCTGGTGGGAGAGTAGTGTAGTGGCATTGAACAATAGCCACACAATCCACAAAGCTGTGAACACGAGACTACTCAGAAAATAGATATTCAATATTTAACGCGGAGAAATACCTGACAATGGAGAAGGCGCGAACAATGAATTGAATGGACTGGAGTTGATCGAGTGGCATGGCTCGGCCATGCAGGCGTGGTCTCTATTCATATTAAATATATTGTTCCTTCTCTAACCTGACCTTCTCCTTCATCATGTATTGGTAATTAATACGATACAGTGAGTTGGCGTAGTCGATGGTGTGACTTCCACGTAAGATCTTATAGATTAGGCAGTTATATCATGACGAATCTACAAATTTAGGATTAGGTCTATTATTAGAGCAGTACTAATATCATAGTAGACCATAATTCTACATATCTACTCTAATTAATATAATTTTCTAATAACGTCCTTTGTGTTGTGTGGTCATCGAAGCATCCATGTAACCTGATACGACAAAAAGGTAATCCACGTTAGATGCTGACCGGGAGGTGTGACTTAGAGGTTAGCCGTTGGTCATTCCACTCCTTTCTAACTAGAGTAGGCCCCCGACAATACATCATCAACGTTCAGGATAAACATCTATATTGAATATATCTACGATAGAACTAATGAGAATTTTAGAGTTGTACTCAAAGACAGTGAATTTTGAGATCGTTAAGCACTTCATATCACGGTCTATGCTGATACTTTCATCAATAGAAAAAGTTAATTGGTCAATGGTGAAATAAAAACGACGGTCCTGTTGTGTCTCATCGATCACATGGATTCATGTGTAAGCTTTTGCTAGGAGGATTTTCAAAAATACGACCATATATTTCTAAGTAATATACAAGTTGCAGATGTGCACCAATATATAAGTATCTGAACTAGTTTTAATTAGGTCATCCATGATAACCGTCAGGAGGAAGTCATTTCCTTCAACACAAGGATAGCGGTCAGCAACGAGTATTACTGACCATCAAAGATAAAAATTATCTTAAAAGCCAGCATATAGTAGAATTTGTTTTTTGACGTTCTTAGCTTGTCGGCGTGCTTAAAAATAAAATCAGGCTTTCAGGTCATTGTGGTGTGATAAGTGAAACTTCTGGCTACAAATAAGTATTTCAGTAACAACTCGTTAAGTTCGGGATAACTATTGAGAACCGATCGAAGTTTGTCAAAATGGACACAAATTAAAGGGTTTAGGAGTCTTTATCCGAAAGGACCTACCGTTGGCAGACCGTGTTAAAAGACGGGAAGCCGAGAAAGAACTACAACTAATGTTAGACGCTGGTGAAAAGGATCTGAAAATTGTAAATTTTCGGGTTGTAAGACTTCGACAGAGAATGATACCGAAGCCACTCTGGGTGAAGCACGAAGGCACTTAGACAGGCTTCGGATCTGTTACACCAACGCACGAAGCTTACTTAATAAGCGATCGGAACTAGGTGTACAGATTGACTCTACAAAGCCAGACATAATCGCAGTAACAGAAACCTGGCTGACAGGCTATAGACAGTATGGAACTTGATTTCGAGGGTTTTACGTTAGTAAGGTCCGATAGAACACAAAAGCTCAAAGGAGGGGGAGTAGCTCTATTCATTAGGAATGCTATCCCATTTGCCAATATCGATAGTGTATCCCATGAGAGTGGGACGTGTGAATTATTTATTTGCCGCTTGAAATATGAGGGACAAGAGCTGCTGATTGGTTTAGTCTATCGCAGTCCAAGCTGTGAGGCAAATGAGATCCTGTTAAACAGTCTCAATACTTGGTCCCAAAGTGGTCGACGTCTAATTCTAGGGGACTTCAATGCACCGATGGTAGACTGGAAAAATCTGCGAACTCAATCGTCAGATAATTTTTTCGAGCAGGAACTAGTTGATGCGGTTATCACATGTGCTCTAGTGCAACATGTGAAGGAAGCGACAAGGTACGATCCGGACACTGAATCATCCTTATTAGATCTTATACTGACTCACTATGAGGATGATGTTGCGAACCTCCATCATATGCCACCCCTAGGTAAAAGTGACCACACAGTTTTAACTTTCGACTTCCATATAACTGCCAGTCACGAGCACGCGTCAGTCCAGTCCAGACCCAACGTCTGGAAAGCAAACATACCAGACATCATGCATTCAGCATCGTTAATAGATTGGACAATAGACCCAGAGTCCTCCATTGAAACGGCCTGGGACGCATTTCGAAATTCATACTTAAAAGTTACCACACCTCACATCCCTTGGACTATACCAAAGGGGCCGAAAAGCTCACCACCATGGCTCAGTAGGGAGGTCCGTATCCTTCTCCGTAAGAAAAGGAAAATGTGGGATAGATTTAGGTTACTGGGGACTGATGAGTCAAAATCTCAGTATCGAAAGGCTCGGAATACTTGTGCCTCGACCCTCCGTAGGTCTAGAAAGTTGTACGAAGAAAAGATTGTTAAGGACTCCGTAGAATGTCCTAAACGCTTGTATTCTTATATAAACCAAAGGACAAAGAGAAGAGGAAATATTCCTGCTGTATGGGGAGACAGTACTGCTTCATCATTAGTGGAAGACGACTTTGGTAAGGCTCAAGTGTTCTCGAACTACTTTAGCAACGTATATACCATAGAAGCGCCCTTCCCGTCAGCGTATACAGATCAACCATACATACACTGGATAGCGTGACCATTAAAGAACTCGATGTCTTTGGTCTGCTAAATAAGCTTGACATAGGTAAATCCACAGGACCCGATGAATTACATCCTAGGCTACTGAAAGAATTACCTAACTTCGTTGCAAGCCCTTTAAGTACATGCTTTAACCTATCCGTTACGCAGGGTCGTTTACCAAACGACTGGAAAAATGCCATAGTAAGTCCTGTCTTCAAAACAGGTACGAAACACAAACCTGAGAACTACCGCCCCGTTAGCCTAACTAGTGTGGTTGTTAAAATCTTAGAAAAGATTATTCGGAAGGAGCTGTTTAAGTATCTCGATAAAAATCAGATCCTCTCGGAGAAGCAGCACGGCTTCAGAATAGGTTACTCTTGTCTCACTAACTTATTAGTGGCTCGTGAAAGCTGGTGCGCTCTTAAGGACCAAAGCTACCTGTAGACGTCGCCTTCATTGATTTCAGTAAAGCTTTTGACAAAGTTCCGCACAACCGGCTGTTATATAAGTTAAGAAATGTCGGGATTAGAGGTAATTTATTGATGTGGATAAAAGACTTCTTAGTTGAGCGTCAACAAAGAGTAAGGGTGAACTCACAGTTATCTAGCTGGGAAACTGTGCTTAGTGGAGTGCCCCAGGGTACAGTTTCGGGGCCAGTGCTACTCCTCTTGTATGTAAATGACCTTCCTTGTCTCCTATCATCATCAGTCTTGCTATATGCTGACGATGTCAAGACATGGAAAACGATACGATGTAAGAGTGATAGCTTAGAACTTCAAAATGACCTGAAGAAGTTATGTGAATGGTCTCAAACATGGCAGTTGCCGATAAATACTTCCAAGTATGTTGTGATGAACATCGGTCATCAAGGCATAGATACATATACGATGAATAACACTGAGCTACCTGTCGTCCAGACATATAATGACTTAGGAATTATCGTTAGCCAAGACTTAAAGACTACTGCACACTGCCGTGCAATAGCCGCCAAAGGTTTTAGAATGTTATGGTCAATACGTAGAGCTTTTAGTCATGTCGACGCCAAAACGTTTTTGACTTTGTATACAGTGTTCGTACGTCCCAAACTTGAGTACTGCATACAAGCGGCTAGCCCTTGCTTAAAAAAAGACAGTGAGCTTCTGGAAAAGGTTCAGAGAACGGCGACTAAGCTGGTTCCCGGAATAGCGAAGCTTCCGTATGAATCTCGACTGGCCAAGCTGAACCTTTTCCCGTTGTCATATCGCAGAACTAGAGGCGACTTGATTACAGTTTTCAAATTGCTTAGTGCCAAATTTGCACCGGATATGCCCTCATTTTTCTTGTCTTCCAAAACAGAGAATTTACGAGGACACCCCAAAAAAGTTCATAAGCCGAGAACAAATTACTTGTCAGCTGACCATCGACTTTCCCATCGAATCATCAACGAGTGGAATTCACTACCTCAGCACGTGGTTGAGGCTCCATCCTTCGACTCTTTCAAAAGAAAGTTGGATCAACTGAGAGACCACCATTGCCAGGACTAACATAGGCCATTGAGCCTCCTGTCCTTCCCAAACTGAAACTGAGATGTTTTATGGGGAATTGATGTATTCTACAGCTAGAAAACAAACCTGAGCTCTGATGACTTATTAAGATCGAGAGTATGTTCAAATAATTCATACAAGGTTCAACTATGGCCTCCATATCAAAAATAATACTGGCTTTTGTTTGAATACCTTCCAAGTATGGATCGAAATTGAAATTCGTTACTAATGCCAACTCAAGACGTTTGGCGCACGCAACAAAAGGCAGTTCAACTCCGTCACCAATATTGATAAGCGTAAGCTAGAGTCCATTTCTAACTTGAAGGCAATAGTGTTCTATAATGAAAATGAAATTTTATTATTTAGTGACAGGTGAATGTTCAGAATGGTGAAAAATTTCATCAATGAATTTAATTTACAGAATATTTTATCCACAATTTCGTTGTTTTGAAAAAATTTCGGGTAAATCTTGTGGTTTTCTTGAAAGTCGCGAAAAATTTGGCAATTGTTGTCAAACCCAATCTCTCAAGTTTGAGGAGATTTCGGGGAAATCTCCAAAGTCAAATGACCTCCACTGAAGTTAATGGGGAATTTTGGGGAAATATTGGGAAATTTCCCTACATCTAGAAAAATTTTCGCGTTTTAGTGCTATTTCTTGTAAATTTCCACAAAGTTTGCTATAGCGGCTTCCCTAAAATTAGGATTTCGGGAAGCTTAGGGAGATTTTGGGGGAAAACCTCGAAATGTCATAAGGTTCCGGAGAAATATTGTGGTAAACCCTAAATTTTCCCCAAAAACTTTGAGGAGTTTCCTCAGACTTGGGTAAACTTTGGGTTTTTTGTGCCGGTACTGGAACGTCCCATAAAAGTTTCTCAAAACGGATGATAGTTTCCCTGAAATTCGGAGATTAAGTTATTTGTTAACTAACGTTTGCATTTGGGTAGTAGAAAAGTATTCTTGGCTACAAAGATATATTATTCAGTAATTTTATTTCGATTTAACTCACATATTCAAAGGTAAAAATAGCTAGTAGTTTGAATTGTAACTCCCATATGATGCCTGTATATTGGGCCGATCTCTCGATTTTGGGTTAAATTTTTATCAGTTTTGGATAAACTTTGTAAAAGCTGCAGTAAAAACTTTTGGAGAGAGGCGACAAAACCTTAAACTTTCAAATTATTGTGGGAGATTCCCCAGAATATTTGTGATAACTTTGGATGTCGTTTAATATTCCCCCAAACTTTGGAAAGTTACTGATTTTAAGATGTTTCCAGGAAATCTTTTCGACGAGAACTGGTATCACTGCAAAGGTTAATGGATGAAACATAGATGATAAATCGGATTTTAGTTAGTGAGATCAGATACAAAGAGATCTATCTTTAGTTCATCGACACAGACATTCTTCCCCTGCCAATGAAAACTCAAACTCTTTGGCTTTATACTACCAAATCTGGAAGAAAAGGCAAATGTCCAGGTGATCCAGTTTTCATTGTGTCCAGTCGTTAGAATCCTGTGATCGTTTCGTACAGTCAGAAAAGACAAGCATGTTATGAAGTCTCAACGCAAAACGAAAAGTGAATGTAGAAAAAGGGTAATCTCGTAGGAAACTGGCCTAAAAAGCGAAGTATCATCGAAGCGACTGTCAAATTCCAAAACCTTTTAAGTTTCAAAAAAACTTAAGCACACATCAAGCAGCTACCTCTGATACTGCGACAAGTCACAAGCCCTCAAAAGCTGTGAGTGGTCACAAAAACGTGTATGACCACCCTCTCCATTCTTGTTTAACTTTGTCGCAGACATGCTGTGAAACATGGCCGGTAAGAGAAGAGGATATTCGTAGGTTATCAGTATTCGACCATAGGTGTCTTCGAAACATTGCTCGTATATCCTGGGACCATCGAGTAAGTAACGCCGTTGTTAGGAAACGGGTACTAGGTAAGGATGGCAAGTCAATTGATGAAGTAGTGAAACTTCATCAGTTGAGATGGCTGGGACATTTGTTACGTATGCCCAACCACCAACTGCCTCGACGTGCGATGTTCAGTGGTATAGGAGTAGGTTGCAAGAGAGCTAGGGGTGGCCAGACCGAAACATGGCACAAGTCCATGAAGTCACTGAAAAGTGGACTGAGCCATGTTGGTAGGTGTAGACTACCTGTTTGTGGACCGCGAGATGATAGCAACAGATGGTTAGAGACCCTGAATGACATGGCTCGAAATCGTTTGCAATGGCGCAGGTGCATCCACTCTTTGTGTTCTCCCATATTCTAATCTTCTGAATTCTTCATGTCCATTTTTTCCTCTTTCCAAATTTATTTCACTGGATTATACTCCTTGAATAACACCTTCAAACCCTAATCCTTCTGATTACTGCTTATACTTTTACTACCTTTGCTACTATGGGGTTTGAATTGACAACTGCATGTTTGTGCTAATGTGGTGTGGCAACTTGAACTGATGTACGTACGTACGAAGTTCTACGTTGTTACTGAATCACTGACCGATGACCTGGTTTCTACTCAACCAGTCAACTCATCTTTGAATATGGTACGGATTTTTAAGCTCGCATAAACATGAGTGGTGTACATAAGTTCAAAATAGGTCTTGTGACCCATTTTCCCGCACCAATCCATCCAAACCTGGATGTAAATATAAGTCCTCTTATTCCACCTATCGCCGCGCAATGCGAGTTATCTTTCTCGACAATAAGAAAAATGTACAACTCACCCCAATGGTGAACGTTGTGCAAACTGATAGGTGTCGGACCCGACCAGTCTATATTTAGGCGTCTGGATGCTAACCATCTCTGTTTTAGAAAGTTTTTTAAACCACTTTTAGTTACATAGGACAGTTTAAGTCAAACGGAGCTATTGCTGCTGTTCATGTTTACTATGACGGTTTTCAAGGCATTTCCTTATAAAGATTTTATAAAAAGCTTTGCACTTTGTCACGGAATTTTCTAGCATTGTTTCGAAAAGAAATGGTTGCTTAAATACAACTTTGCAAGGACAGTTACTATTCATCGTGCCACAAATATCTTCATTCCTGGCATTTCAAACACGTTACGCACTGGTTTCAGTTATCCTAAACCCCTTCGTAACAACTGTGTGACACCTTATTTTAGTTTGCATGTTTAGTCCCAGAAAAATACCTTAGATCTCCGGATGTATTTGTGCAGGATAACTCAGCATTTCTAGTTACACGCTTGTCTCGACCTCCCGATCTATGCATATCATGGTGGATACGGAGGATCCACCTAGGGGAGTTGTGAAACCCTGATTCCATACCGATAGTGCACATGGGCTCCAGGATCTTAAAGAAATGAGTGGCGTCTAAACATATTGCTGGTCACCAGCTAACATGGGATTGCATCTCCTTACGTTGCTTCACTGCCTTGTGGATTGAACCGTTAGATCAAAGACTTAGGGCGTGGCCTAACAAGAAAACCACCTGCTTGGTTTGGGCAATCGGACAATATCTCAGCCCTCACATAAATCAAGTGACTTTAGGGGCGTATATGTATTCGGTGCCCTTTTGTGCCAATTTTTATGCGTTTAAATAAATAAATATCGTGATGCACTTAAGGACATTGACTAGCGTTTACCAAGGATCAAACTACAGAGATCAAGCATATGTACACTTCCGAATCCGTTTAACGTTCTCTTTATCTTGTTTCACCCTCCTTTTTCGAGACGAACTTCACTGCTTTCTAAATTTAATTTCAGTGAAACTCTGCGTTTTAGAAATCCGAGGTGGAAATACCCTTGTATTTTAAAGTAATTGAATGGAAGTTACTTTTCTGAAATGAAAATACTTGACCACTTTTAGTTATCTGTAAAGAAAATTTTAATTTCATTCCTACCCCACTGGACTGTGAAACATTTGTTGTTCTCTTATTTTTTTATTCCTTGTTCCAGTGTTTTAAGGTACGAAACTGTCGTCCCTCGTTTTTTATCCAGTTTGTCCTAAATTTACTAATGTTGGTTTACAAAGTGTTTTGCTAAAATATGTAAAAATAAATTTTTCTATCAGTGTTACAGATATTCATATGTTTGTAGTAGGCGTATTACTTGCAAAGTTTTGACATGTTTTAGCTTTAAATAATAGGATTTAAACAAAGGTGTTTTGTTCAACATTTACCCGTAACAAATGGTTTTTTAAGTAAAAACAAACCTGTATGAAAAAACTCGAAACCTCATTATTCAAGAGGTTCTTATTATCTAACGGGTTTACTAAAAAGTGGAACTCTGCTTGATGAGCATTACGCCAAATTAACTAGTAAATCTAATAACCTTCCAAGCCCACTCGAGACGTTAATAAAACTACAGAAAATGAGAAATCGTAGTTTTATTAGGTACGATACAGGTAAACTCCATACAAAAATCGCTTAGTTTCTACAGCTGTTGTAAATCATATTTTAAACATAACTGGCCTTGAAGATATACTTGTAGAATGGTCAATTTTGACACTTATACAATAAAATTAGACAATCAAAGCAATTATTAACAGCTATTTGATACGTCTATAACTTATCCTAATGTTTTTTTCTTCTACAAGGCCTCACTTGATAACTATTTTAAAACGTACATGAATTCGCTTGATGTTATAAAAACTTATCCTGTATTTGATTTTAGATTTCACCACAAAAGCTTTGAAGTATAGTTGGATTCTTCCTAGGAAACTTTGGGTCTTGTCTTTGCTAACCAGTGTCTGGGTCGGTCAGTAAAACCGTGTTATGTAATGCGCGATCTTTCAAATGGTATACAGTTGTTATATATTGTTATTTAATTTTTAAAGCGGAAATACAGAGTATAGTCAAGCTCCAAGCTCATATTCGAGGTATTCTGGCTCGCACAAGGTTCAAGAAAGCTTTACAAATTTTTCGAAACATAGTTTCGGAATGTGGTGAATCCGAAGATAATTTAAGTCAGTTCCAATACACGTTTAATCATTTTGGGAAGAACAGAACATGTTCAGTCAACAGCACCAATACTTCTGAGAAGCTAAAACTTCCTGAGCTGTACGCTCTTAGAAACAATCTTTTCCTCGAAGCTATATGGTTGGATCAGGCTATCAACAGTCGTCGTCATTTTCTGATGTATAAACAAGACTTCAATGCACATTTCGATCAATGAGTATGTAGTGTAATATAATACAACTTATTTGCTCATCAACTTCATACTGATTTATATATCTCGTATTTCGAATGGCACGTTATGGTTTCACTGATCGTTTTCAGTCAGTTTAATGTGCTGCCACCTCATTTTCCCAAATTCAAGTTCAAGGATCTGGTTCTGGAACTTAGTAGTCAACAGCTGAGTGTTAAGTAAACCGTAACACCACAATATGCCATGTGCTTAATCTTCATGTTTCCAATTATCCTACCGCTAGTGAACAAAACGTCTGTATAAGTGGAACAATTTCTGTTATACATAAGGGTTTCAGTTTTTAACGATATACATTTTATGTGCTAAAAATGAGTGAATGAAGTTTTGATCAGAAGATGATAAAGTACATCATTATTTGTTTATGTGACTGAACTAGTGACATAAAACCCCGAACTGAGTTTTATTCTGCATGCTTCGTTAAAAAAACAACATCATGTTTAAAGGTGAGAATTCTTGATGCCTCATTTATGAACCTGAGAACCACTACAAACAATGTAGTTATGGACGAACTTCATGATCTCTTCTCATTTTGAAAACAAAGTAAAATGAATCACAAGTTAATCTTAAAGCCTTACCAAAGCCAGTACTTTTTAAGCTGGGATAGCCTAGGTTACCGTTAGGAATAGAGCTAAATTGGCAAATGCATAACCAATTTTATTTTGAACTATTTCGAAGCTTGTCTTGATAAAATTCCTATACACATTTCGCCTACTTATTCTTTTAACGAGTAGTAATGTGAATTTTCAAGATTTTCTTTGGACAATGATACTGCAGTTAATTCAGTTAATTTTCTGCCAATAGAAATAATTCACTCTATTGTTTTATCGTCTGAAACGCTGCTTCTCAAATACTTAGTTGGTTATGCAAAAATTACATATTGCTCCAAAACTAATTTTAAGGTAAGAATTTAAGGAGTCATTTATTTTAAACGGAATAGAAACTGACAGAATCAGAAAACACGTACAAATATGTTGAATTACCATTGAAAATTCTACTTCTTACTCTCTTGGCTAGATGACTAACTTGTCATATTAGGAGAATACTATTAAATTTTTAGGTCGTAGATTTTTAAGTTCTAAATCAATTTTAATACGAATTATGAAAATGAATAAGTATCCTATCTGGGTGTACATAATCTTATACTTGTGTGTTTTATAATTCTTACGTTGTTGTTACTTATCAATAACCCTCTTATCATAGAACCGGTGAATTAACGGATTGTGTTCTATCGAGAAGTTTGGTATCATAACTGTTTACTATTATAGATCTAGTTTTAACTTGTTTAATGATTCAACTCCTAACAAATAAGCGACTGTGTAGAAAAACTGTTTGATTTATTTCTTTACTACCAAAAATGTATGTTACATTCATGGATATTTGATTTCCGGATAATTTATCGACTCAACACTATATTAAACCTAGGTTTGATGAGATTTAGACAACTCCAGTCAAGTGAATGTCATTTACAAAAAACAGGTTGACAATATACAGTATTTTAAAAGAGATATCATACACACGATGGATTTCTCTTCAACTTTATCAACTAAATACGACACATTTAAATTTTGGACAAACTTGAGCTTTACATCTTACAGTTATCTTATTTAAAAAATCTTCAATTGAATGTTAACTAAATTAATTCATGGCTTCCTCCGTTCTTACACCTTAGTGACTGTAATGCAGTAGTACAATTACAGTCTCTTCGTGACTTGATCCAAGAGGTATGAATTCAGATTCTGACATTATGATGCTTGATTTCAGTTCTGGGACAACAAATCGGGCAGTTTTAGACGTCTATAAACGTTCGTTGACCAAATCTTCTAAAATAACCAAACGTGTCAGTTCCTAATACTATTTTCATGTATTTAAAGAAAGCAATTTTTCCTATCAGTAAGAAGGACTTGTAACATTTACACAAGTAATAAGCGAATTTATCTATCTGCTAGCTCTTTTTTAAATTCTTCCATCGACTCAACAGTCATTTGCCTACCACTGGTGAACGTGACTCTTTTACCTCAGGGTTTTAGAAATTGGCCTACTTACCTGCGAAGTTATCTTCTAAGATTAGTCCGTTTCAACATCTTATGCAGAAATAGTATGTGAAGCTGTCAAGTAGTTGCTTTAACACTGAGTTGCTAGGTTAATTCCAATACATCCGAGACCATAATTTGACATTTATCAACATGTAGCGTTGATAAAATATTGGACTTTCAATAGGCGCTTATATTGCATATCATTCTAGTTTATCCTACCTTACTAATGTTAGATGCTGACACTGGAGGCAGAATAAACGAATACGTGATCGATTATAAGTACTTTTGGATAATTTCTCGTGTATGAAGGGATTTGATGACTAGAAATGTTTATTTCGAAAATGTATTATTCGACGAATGAGGTTAATCTGTTGATAGAAATGTAAACATGACAATATAAAATTCTGTATCATATCACAACGTCATCTAATGTAGAAAACTGTCTTGAAAAATATTTTTTGACTAGACCAAATAATAACACTAGTTCATAAAGTTACTGCTTGTCTGAAGTATAGCTATGCGGGTTTATTGAGATGATAAGAATTTGTTGTGAAGGCATACTTCAATTAACTTAGTCTATCAAAGGAGTTTTTTTAGTTAAGTAATGGCGATATGTAGATTTTAAAAAAATAATTAATTTGAATGGATGATAAGGAGAAGACAAAAGTAAATTATCTGTCAGTGTAAACCATCCGCTATTTTGCTCATCCACGACCCCGTCTCGTGGGATGCGTACACAGGACCTATCAGTCTTGTGCGCGAGAGCTTAACCTCTAACCACTGAGCCTCCATCCAAAGGTGTTAGTGTTTAACTTCAACTAATATCAGTTATGTTCCTTTCGTATTACTAATTACTTAATGATGTAATAGTGTGCAGCAAATCGAAAAATATCTGATCTTATTCACCTACTAGTAATCCCTGACTAATCCGCACATAATATTTTCTGACAAAGAAAAATTAAGAATGCGCTTATAATTCATATGGTTTTAATAGTAGTTATGCAGATTTTCATCATTTATTTTCAACAAGTTAATGATTGGAGGCATATAATCAATCAACTCATTTTTGCCTAAATGTAACTAGTCGATCTATACTTTTAAATTATTTTGATTAATCAAGAATCTATCTTATATTAAACCGTAAAAATCATTCCTTGTCTGATAACTATTCATATCAATACTAATCTCCTCAATGTTGACATAATTTATTTGCGCATTTTTTGGATTTGTGTTATAGCATTCTAATTAATCCAGTATGACATCACATAAACGTTATAACATTAACACCGTTAGATGCTGGCTCAGTAGTCTAGAGGTTAAGCGTTCACAAACGAGATCGAAGTCCCTGGGTTTGAATCCCGTGAGCAGGATCGTAGATGCGCACCGCTGAGGAGCCCCATAATAAGACGAATCGGCCGTCCAATGCTTCCAGATTTTCAATGATGATCTAACATCAATCGTTTCATGATCTCAATCAACAAATTATAAAAATATCAATAAAGTCTTTCGATAATTATCATTTTCAAAATTATTTTCTTATTTTTAATTGGTGAATAGTAAGTATTTCTTATTAGCCATATGATATATTTCAATAGTTGAAATCGTGCGTTGATTGAAGCTAGATCACCATGGAAAACCTGAAAGCACTGGATGGCCGTTTCGTCCTAGTATGGGACTTCTCAACAGTGCGCATCCACGATCCCACCCCCCGTGAGATTCGAACCCAGGACTTATCAGTCTCGCGCGCGTGTGTCAATTAATTTTCTTAAAAGGAAAAAAGAATGATTTTCCATACCAATTAATCTTTATAAATATTCTACTTAAATCTTATTATTATTTTCTTTTTGAGAGAAAGAAAAATGCTTTATTCCCTTTTACCTTTTGTTTAATGTTTTATTGTACACATTGATATGAATACTTTTGTTATTTTGGATGTGAATAAAATTATCAATAAGGATTAACAAGAAGAAATAGGTACTGATTGATAAATAGATAAATCCAATATATCAAGCGTGAAATCATTTCACTTTAATTCATTAATTATTATTTTGTTTAAGTGTATATGATATGTTATGTAATTATTAAACTGAAAGTAATTGGAGTAAATATTGTTCTTTTTTTTGTAATACAAATACTAAGTAGATCATTGTCTTTTACCTATTCAATATTTATTCATCTTGTCATTCCATTCATTGATTGTATATATTTGTAAACAAATAACTGTTAATCTGTTTTTCCCCCCAGTTTATATGCTATAACCACTGTGAACATACTGTTTATAATTCAGTAAACAACTATTGATTTGAGGATTACATGGTAATTCTGTATATGATTGTTTCTCTACAAAAAGATGTGACACGTGCCATTTTTGTGATATTTTTCCCTAAGTTATTTATATATATACTCACTAAATATAAATAATAACAATAAGCGAATGGTTCATTGTTCATTTCGTCTAATTAACTAACGTTTAATATGGTTCCAATCTAATATGAATTTAATTGGATTACTAAAGGAGAATGGTGCTAAGCGGATGATGTAGTCAGTCTCTTTCTGTCAGAATTGGATTATTTTTAAGTCGAATAGATTATGACAATTTTAAATCTTTATACATTAATTGTCGACTGGATTTTATTCAATAAGAAATTTGTTTTACGTAATGAATAGATATTAAAGAAATTGTCATTCGTCTGAATAATAAAGGAATCATACTTTATCATGTCAAACCTTAAAATGTGATTAAAATCATGTCAGCTAATTATAATATATAAATAGAATGATCATAGAAATACAATGATCCTATGAACGAATAGAAAGCTATAGATAACAGTCATACTCAAAGCTGAGAGTAAATGGTTAGTTATTTGTTCTAGACGTAAAATTTAAACAATCTGGATTGACTTCACAACATTTTTCATGATCATCAGTTTGATT